GATGAAGTGCAATGAATGCGAGGACATGACCAGGTTCATGTTCTTCGCCGCAGTGATTATTTTCGTTCGTCAAATAATGGATGACCTATATCACCTCCACGAAGATATGGCGCGTAGGCCCGCGGCAGGACCGACTAAAGTCCTGTAGGCCCCGGGAGTAGTTTTGGAGGCACTTATGTACTCTTGATCTTTCTTTACGAGTCTATATTTCAGTTTCCTTTTAGAGTCTATTTTGAGTCTGAATTGAGTCTGTTTTAGTTTTTCAGTTCTTAAGTGTGTATGTTGGAGTTGTTGTAATAGAGGAAAATCAGAAGTTTTTATTTAATGAAAATTTGATAACCCAAAAATGTTTCTTTCTTTTATTTCTCATTTATCCCTGAACTACGTAATGATCTGATTCGAGCGGCGTCGCGATACATAGGCAATCCCCATCGGATCCGGTCATAGCTGTAAATAACTTGAATAAGAGAGAAAATTTGAAAAAAGGGCACAAGAAAAGAGGGAAAACAATACAAAAGAGAGAGAGCGCAAAGAAAAGAGAGGAAATAATGAAAAGCATAAAGAAAAGAAAAGATTCAAAGGTCCGCAAAGGTAATAAAAGCCAGGATGAGACATGCAACCGTTGCAAAGCATGTAGAAAAACGTTAACTGTATTGGTGCATTGCATTCCCAACGTGCGATTCCCTATGTTTTAATTGTCTCAAACTAGCTAGTTTGTTGTGTATGCTATTGAGACCAGGTTCTATTTTAAGGTGGTTGGTTTTGTGGTAACCTGGCTTCGCATCCTTACTTTACAAGATCCAAGGGAAGTGTCTAAATGCCGTCAGAGAGTCATATACCAACAAATCCCATCCCAGAGGATAGCTCGTTGTCGGTTATCCCAACGTCAGAGTCAGCGACTGCTGAAGAGAACAGGGCGCTGCGCCTCCGCATGTTGGAAATGTGGGACGCTTGGTCTAACGGTAGAGAGCCGCCTAGTGCAATACCTGGTTTCCCCGGGCTAATTCCTAGAACAAGTGGAACCTCCAACTGTCGACGCCCCCTTTTTCCTCGCGGAATCGGGTTCACGACATTCGGGAGGACAACTCTATTCCCTTGCGATAATTGGGTTTTTGGAGTTTGAAGAGTCGCCACCTAATGATTATAGTGCATTAGGACACTTTAAGGAAGAATTTGAGATGAAGAACCAGAGTTTGGGTAAGGGCTAGAAATTATCTCGAGGGGAAGGTGTTAGGCACCCCTCGAGATCCACTAGTGTGGTTCCCGGCCATGCTACAATTGTGACTTTGAATGCAAACAAACAAGTAAACAAGCAAGCATTGCAAATACGAGAAAATTATTACAAATAAGGAGCACAAAAGGTTAAAAAAAAGTGCTGAATTTTAGGGACGGAGCAGTTTAGTTAAAAGTGCAAGTAGGAAGAAGTCAAGTACTTAGTGCGAACAATCTGAAAATTATGTGAAAACAGAAGTCGAAAGTGTAACAGCTTTTTAAGATTCAGAAAATTGGTAAACTAATAAAGAGGGAGGGGGGTCCTAGGTTTATATATTACATGGATCATTCGCACAACACTGGTACTCAATTGTACGCATAGTGTTATCGTGTAATCATCATCTCCATGTCTACCCTTTCCCACCCCGTTAAGGTATTGGAGCGCGGAATGGTATCGTTTGCCTATTGCATGCTATTACCCATCCCAAGCTATCAGTCCCGGGGCATTAGGACTTCTAATCCTAAAAGGGGAAGAAAGGGATGGGGGCCTTTATGGAGTTTAAAGGACAAAAATTCTAATCGACATTCAAAAACAAGTAACAAGTAGGGGGAATGAACAGACAAACAGGTAAGGCTCACATAAACCCCGTAAATCAGATAACATATAGTTTAGCATGCCTTTACACATACTGGTTTGGTCTTTAAAATTAAAAATTAAGCAGCGAGCGGACTGGTTCGATACATACGTTTAGACAGGAAGCCCACATTAGGCAACTTGGATCCAATTGTCAGAACTTAAGGTATTTTAAGCGAGTGATTTAGAAAGTACTGGTTCTAGAAAAGTAGTCTAATGCCGGAAAGTACAGACTGCAGTCAGTTTAGAAATAAGTTTTAAGAGAATCATGAGTATAAACCATAAAAGGAGTTCCAGAGTCAGAAATACTTAAGGAAAGAGTAAACTGCAGAACTGTTTTAAAGACAATTTCAGGAAGACCAAAACTTAGTTGGAAAATGTTTAGGCAGAATTTTAGAAAGAAACCATTTCAGAAGAGGTGCTGATTTGAAGAACTCAAATGTATACTGATTCAAAAGAGTTTTGTCAAAAGATTGAGGCTGAAAACATTAAGACATTAGAGACCAGTTAACAGATTGTTATTGCTTAAGAAGAATCGGACGAACTTGATGCGGAATCCTATGATATCTATATCTGATTTAAAAAAGTCTGTTAAGAACTGGTAAGAAGAGGTAATTATTTAATTACCCTACAGTTTGCCTAATGCATATGCATTCCCTATAGGCATGATTTCTATATGCACTGATTACATGAACGTTAAGGTCCTATAGGCAGGATTTCTAGATGACTTATATCATAATTAAACGTTAAACCCTATAGGCATGGTATCTAGGTGACTTGAATCAGAAACATCGAACCATCTTATGTGCAGTATTTCTAGTGAAAAAATTAAAGTCCTAAAGTCATGATATCTACCCTTTATTGATGCAAGAAAGTAAAACCCCTCCCACACCCTTTTACTAGATTCCCCGAGTTCTATACAAGTTATTACAACCCAATGAATCAACTGAAATAATAAAAATACATCAAAAACTAACAGCTAGATCCAAGCAGCCTAATTCAATCTTAATGTCCAATAATATGTATTTAACCAACTCCGGGGTCCAGATCTCCAAAGCCTTCTCATTATCCAGGGTGTTTCAAAGTTTCAAGGAACCTCAGGGATTCCAGGCATTGCTTACACCCAGGATGCCATTATGAACAGGATGGTGCAGTGTGGAATAGCCAGCCCTCAGGCATCCAAGTTCAGAGGGAGCTCAGGGGTCCCAAAGCATGGCTTGCAAGAGAGGGGCAGAACTTATAGCTAGGAGTAAGTGCAAAGTGAAAGGGAATTAAGGGGCCATGACAAGTGGTGGTCATACCTAGCCATAAGGTAGGCTGGCACACCCCTGACCACTTGCTAGATGAACAAGTTAGGAGCAGACCTTTTGATGGTCAGACAAAGGTCTGGATAGTGATTAGGACACTATCAGACCTAAGTCAAGGCTCAAGCACATAATGGGGAGAATGGGAAGTGGGAATTGATTGAGTTAAGGAGTTCAATGAACCCAGTTCAGGATCATAGACAGCAATATTGGGGTGCTGCTATGCCCTGAACAATAAACTCACATACAAAGGGGTAAAAGGGTAAAGGGGATTCACAGAGTATCAAATTCATGACAAACAATTGATTACACACATAACTTAAATACAGAAATATAAAGGAGAGGGAAACAAATATCAACTAAAGGAAATAGGCAGAATTAAACACATTGTTGTTGAGGCATGTAAACTAACTGAGACATACCAGTAGAGAAGCAAAAGAAGTGCAGAAGAAAGTAAAGTAAACACAGTCCACAGCAGCACAAGTATCAAAAGAGAGAGTTTTAAGTGAAATTGAATTGTGAACTCAGATGGTGTTCTGTGTTCGTGTGTGTAGGAAAAGTCTGTGAAAAGCCTCTGTAAAACCCTCCTTTAGTGCAAAAGGGCAGGCCCTTTTATAGTGCAGAAGATGAGTAAGAAAAGGGTAAGAGAATAGTTTTGAAATCAATCACAAGCTGTTTCCCTTTGGTTAAGGCATTTGATTCAAACAGGCAAAAATATATAAGGAAAGGATTCGTTTTAAAAATCTTTTCTAAAGCAGTGTAATAGGGACAAATACACAGCAGTTTATTTAAGGAAATAGTCTAGTAGCACACGGTTTGGGCAGAACAAGGAAAGACAATCAATCAACAGCCAGTAAAATCAGGGTTCAAATCTTAGTGTGAATGAATCCAACCAGAAAAGGTGAGAAGGGGTTTAATTTAAAGAAAATCAACAGTACAAAACCTTTTAAAAAGGAACTCGGAATCAATCACAAGCTGGCCAAAGGCCTTTTGAAAGAAGAGAATTTGTCATATAAAAAGCATACAGACATGTGAGACAAGAGAGAGTTGTCGTAAAACTAGCAAGAAATTAGAGTGACTAAGAAGGTTAGGTTCGTAGACTCAGAATGAGCCTGAAAGAGAGTCAAGGGTTCTGAATGGAACCCTAGACCAAACACAAAGTCAAGCCTGCCAAAAACCCCAAATACTAGGGTTTCTGACTCGAATCAGATGCATAGACGAGAAAACAACAAATAGAACAGGCTCAGTAGTCTCTTTCAGAGACTTATGGGAAATCAAACAGAGAGAGCAGCAAGTTTGAAATACAGGGAATACATTTAGGCAAACACATGGCACTTAAATAAGTTCAGGAGAGAAAAAGCGATACAGGTTTAGGAAAAACAGTAGACGGAACCTGCTTAGAGTTCAAACAAAAGTCCAGTAAAGGCAAACAAGGATTAGAAGCTTAGTAAAATACAGTAAAGAAACATACGAGATATACATGTAAAGCATGCTTATAGAGCCCGGTAGAAGAAAGAACAGAACACAAAAAATAGAAGAACATGCATAATATGGCAAAACATAAGAACATAGGAGCAGACATGCGAGGAAAGAACATAAGAACATGGCATAGACAGATACACACAAAGAAAAGAAGAAGAAAAGTCAGAAGTCGTTTTATGATTTTCCGAAAACCCTAAATTGAAACAGACTAATTTTGAAAAGAAAATTGGGGAAAAGCTTTAAAACATTGAATATAGCACAGATCCACCATAGATCTAAGTAAATAAAAGAGGGAGGAACCTCGAATAGCCTTAGGGTTTCTCTGAAACAATGAGAAGGCTTGGAAGAGGTCTGGTCTTGAGTCAGAGATGGCCATGACTAGGCTTCTAAAGCTCGAATACATCGGAATGGGGCCTGGAGAGGCCACAGAACACAGATCTGCAGGGGATCTGAACGGACGCCGTCGAGCTCAGACCTCGAAATCTCGAACACCCATGGTTTAGGGGTGAAGGAAGGTGAGCAATGGTCGTCCATGGCCTGAAAAGCCATGGACTCCGGCGAGATACTGGTCGGAGAAGACGAGGGAGGCGATTAGGGTTTGAGTGCTTGAGAGCATTTGAGAGAGAAGAGAGTTAGAAGGCGGCTGTCGAAGAGAAATGGGGATTAGGGTTAGGTCATGTGGAATTAAAAAGGAAAGAATCATTTGTGGGCGTTGATCAAAAGGATCAACGGCCTGGATATAAAAGAACCTCGGGCGGGTTTAGCAATTGGGTTAGGGGTCGGGTGAGAAATCAAATTGGGTCGTTTTGATTTGGGGGAGGATTGGGCCAAAATTAATGCTAAAAGTGAAATGGAATTGGGGCTGCAATTGAAATGAATTGGGGCTATAATTGAAATAGCCAGTTTTCCCTTTTATTTTATAAAAAATAAAAAATGATTTTAATAGAAAAATTAAAGATGCTGAACCAATTAATAATACATATGTATTAATTAAAAAATACTGGAACTGATTTTGCAATTATAAAACATTATTAATCGTAAAATAGGCTATAATTGCATTTATATGCAATTAGCTTTAAAAATACCAAACAAATTTGTAAAAATATACAAAAAATTACCTTAATTATATTTTGGTGCAAATGTGAGAATAAAAATGAATTATTCGCCAAAATGATAATTTTGGGAATAATTATTGGATTTTGTTGTATTAAAATAGGCAATGAATTGGTTTAAAAATCATTAAAAATGCCAGAACTCTTGGGTGTGCTTATGTATGCACATATATGCTATTTTGGAAGTATTTTGAGTATAAAATTACTAGGAAAATTTGGGTATCAACACCAACATCCCTACAAATTACCCGAACACCCCACTCGGATACCCCACCATGTCAGCTTATTTTGTCGGAAAGCCTTCTGAGGTTCGCCCCCAGACACTAATTTCGGGAGTGGCTTCTAACATATTCACCGCACCACCAACCTCGGCCACGGCACAGCCAACATTGCCCAGGCCAAGTTTTGAGCCGTCATCCTTTACCTTCCAAATACCACCATTTCAATCGGACATGGCTCATGTCACTACAAACTCCTACCCTCAACAACCGCGGTATGAGTTTATCGCGGGACAAGAGAGAACTGTAAAGAATCCCGAGCAAGAGGAGATCACTCGGAAAATGAAAAGCATAGAACAAATTCTCAAGAACATACAAGGCCTGAGTGGCCAGAAAAGTGTCTCCTACGCTGATTTGTGCATGTTCCCGCATGTTCATCTGCCCATCGGCTTCAAGACTCCCAAGTTTGAAAAATATGATGAACACGGGGACCCCATAGCCCATCTGAAGAGGTATTGCAATCAACTAAGAGGAGCGGGCGGAAAAGAAGAACTCCTAATGGGTTACTTCGGGGAAAGTTTAGTCGGAATTGCATCTGAATGGTATATGGAGCAAGACATCTCCCGCTGGCACATATGGGATGACTTGGCCCGAGACTTTGTCCGGCAGTTCCAGTACAATGTGGACATAGCTCCATATAGAAATTCTTTGTACAATTTCAAAAAGAAGTCTTCGAAGAGCTTCCGAGAGTATGCTGTCAAGTGGCGCGAACAAGCTGCCAGGGTGAAACCCCCAATGGATGAGACCGAGATGGTCAGTGTCTTCCTGCAAGCCCAAGAGGCTGATTACTTCCAGAACATGATGTCCGTTATGGGCAAGCCATTTGCAGAAGCCATAAAGATTGGAGAAATGGTAGAGAATCATTTGAAAACGGGTCGCATCCTGAGCCATTCGGCTATAAGAGCTACCCCTCAAGCAATCCAGAGTGGGTCATGGGCTGCAGCAAATCGGAAAAAGAAAGAAGAAGTGGCAATGATGGCCTCAAGTCTGAGAAACCCCCGTCAACCCCGAGGTTACTTCGATTCCTCTTCAAGCACCCCGCAACATAATTACCCTCACCAAGATGCGGCTTATGCCATGACTCCTCAGCCTTATGCAGTAAAGAATGCCCAGCCATACGCTCGGCCACAACAACAGTATAACCAGAACAAAGCTCCTCCTTCTAGAAATAACCCTCCTCACCAAGCTCCATATAATCCCCGTCCACCACAGAATAACTTTCCATATAACGCCCGTGCCCGTGAGCCACCCAGAAAAACCAACTTCACGCCCATTGGTGAATCTTTCCAAAGCTGGTCCAAATGGGCTTGTTGCAGCTCGTACCCCCGAACAGGCAAAACCCAGAGTCACCCTCCTACCGACCCGGTACCCGATGACCCCTCTAAATGCAGTTCTACTTGTTTTGTATGTCGCTTTAGCATTTTACCTTTAAACCTAAGAGTCAGCTTAGAACCTCCTTCTTATAGGAATAGTAGTCCTATATTCCTCCGGGACTGATAGAAATGTGACGGGTAACAGCATGCAATAAGTAATCGAGATCATTCCGCGCTTTAATACCTTAACGGGGTTGGAAGGGTAAATATGGATATGATGACCACGCGATAATGTCACGTGTAGCCCCTCATTGAGGAGTAATTACCGGGCATTGTGTGGGGTGATCTATATTGTTAATAAACCTAGGACCCCCTTTCTCTTCTTTCTTGTCTCTTTTAAAAAGAATTTCAAACTCTGTCTTTTAAGAAAAATCAGCTTTCTTTAGCTCTTTCCAACTTTGTTTATTTGTAACCATTATGTGAAAATCCCCCTCTTACTTGGAGCTTTATTTTCCTATGTGTTATTTGCACCTAAAGTCACAACAATAGTTTGGCCGGTAACCACACTAGTGGATCTTGAGGGGTGCCTAACACATTCCCCTTGGGATAATTTCAAGCCCTTACCCAATCTCTGGTTACCCAACTCAAACCCTCCTTAGTGTCCTAATGCATTTTAATCATTAGGTGGCGACTCTTCAATTCAAACCCAACTCCCGAAAGGGAATAAGCTGTCCTCCCAAATGTCATAAACCCGATTTCGCGAGAAAAAGGGGGCATCGACAGCATGACGACTCTGCTGGGGATATCTTTTAGGCTTTTACCATTTCAAACTATTAATGTGACTTTACATTTCGTATGTGCATTTATTTGTTTAATCCGTTTAAGTATTTAATTCCTTCTCCTACTACAAGAACTGACTCGTTTCTTTGTTTCTTTCCTTTATTTCTTTACTGCTTCCCTTTACTGCTTTTCTTTACAACTGTTTTAAATTATGAGGATTTGTTGTAATTATTGCTTTTGTAACGTGCAAATACATCACAACTTATTTTAATTATTGCATAAGCATATTTTCAACATCATATTCCATTCGTGCCAAACAAAATACCATAGCAACGCTTATAATGAGTGGTTGCGCCCTTCCAATATCATCACCCCCAAAATTCGGCAAAGGCATATTTGCGGTAAAACCAGTCGATCAACGGTGTAGTCGACGGTTCCGCGCCTTTCCCTCTTGAGTTGTCCGCTCAAGGGTACCAGTCTAATACCCCATAGAAACCTTACTCTGTTTAATTGTTCATGCATCATGGTCAAACCTAGCCGAGTCAGTTCTGTTGTCCGCATAATGATTCTTTAAGATAGCCTTGTCCAAAGTCCACTAGATTTTCCCAAAACCCAAACGGACACTACCGCGTTTTGTGCATTTATTTGGAGAACTAAAATGCTTTTATGCCAATTGTTGATATTAAATAGTCGAGTCTGGTGGGGGTAAGGGCCTGACCTTTTGTCTTGCAGAAATATGAGGCACGAAGTCCCTAGATTCGGCATGGTCACCCACATCCACCCCAAACTGCTAAGCTGGTGGAAGGATCTTCATTCCAACGTTCAGACTCTTGTCCGGAAATACCTGGAAAACCTACCTTCTCTCTTGGAAATTCAACCCAACAACAAAATCATAGAGGCTGCTACCCTATTTTGGGATTGTGATAGGTCTGTGTTCCACTTCGAAGACATTGAGATGACACCCATGCTCGAGGAAATAGGAGGACTGGCTGGAATACCGTGGGAAACGCCGGGTTTGCTAATGCCGGAAAACCACAAAGGTAGATGTTTTCTCAAAATGATGGGTCTATAGAAGAATCCAGACTTGACATGTTTGAAAGAGTCGTACATTCACTTCGACTATTTGTACGAGAGGTACGGCCACAGTAAATCTTACCGTACTTATCCTGACGAGTTCGCCCTTACATCATTGGGGCATATTCACCGAAGGGTATTTGTCTTCATGTTATGTTTCTTGGGGATGATAGTATTTCCAATGAAGAAAGCAAGAATCCATACCAGGCTAGCTATGGTCACCAAAACTCTAATGGAAGGGATTGACGGACAACCATTCAGTCTTGTGCCAATGATCCTTGCAGAGATATACCGAGCCCTAGAAAGGTGTCAACAGGGAGCCAAACATTTCGAGGGTTGTAATCTTCTACTTCAACTGTGGCTCATGGAACATCTCCAAAAGGGTGAGTACCGACAGGAGATCCATCAAAGGGACTGGGACGATCATATCGCCTTTCATCACCCAAAGCGAATGAATTACATGCCCAACATGTTCGCCCAACCGGAGAATGCTGGAGAATGGGTCGAACTCTTTGATAATTTGACAGAAGACTGGGTACAATGGATGTTCGAGTGGTTCCCTACTGAAGAATTCATCGTTCGATCTGCGCCATTTCTGATACTGATCGGTTTGAGGGGAACCTACCCTTATGTCCCTCTCCGAGTTATGAGACAGGCTGGTAGGAAGCAGGTTATACCAAGGGTCAACAAGACGAGTCATTTGCGGGTTGACTTCCAGGCTGACAACAGTCTGTACAGGTGCCAGGCTCAGCATATGTGGCACTGCAAAATTATCTTGGGAAAGGACACCATCGAACTAGACCGATACCATGCTGGTTGTAACCCACACTATTCAAGCTGGCTGGAGGATAATCACAATGGTCTAGGTCAACCTGGGTTTGTTCGAGGTCACAGGATCATCGATGAAAAGGCTGAAGCACAGGTCAAGTACAACCAACCGCGCAAGAGGATTCGGGAATGTGAAAGTGAGCACCGTGAAATACAAGAAGCCAATCAAAAACTAATTGAAGAATGGAAGGATATGGGTGTCAGCGCCAACAAGCGATTGGTCTATTTGGAGCGAGGTATAGTAGAGTTGGAAAAGAAGTTTCTGAAGAGGGTCGAAGATTGCCGGACTGCTGAAGGAAATGAAGACGGACACCTGGCCAGAGCTTACCTTCTACTAGGACTGAGCGAGCTGGGAGAGCTGTTCGAGGGAGCCACCAATGCGGAGTCTGGGGAAGGTCCCTCTGGGACCAAATAGATAGGAATTTCCATTTCCGCTTTATAAGATGTAATGAGGCCAATGGCCACTAGTGATTTTTATTTCTTGTCATTTAGTCTCGTTTTAGGATTCGTCTACCTTTTATCAATGAAATGAGGCATTTTGCATTCTAAGTTCTCCAAATTAACTTGTCGCTAGGCCTACCTCGGGCACAACGAGGTCCCCAAAATTAGGACACGCTTTATATTTCAAGAACTACGTGTTTAAATATTGCGACATTTTTCGTATGATCCTTACTGACTTATCACCTTTTTGTTTTTACTTTTTGTTTATTCCCCTCCCCAAAGGTTAGTTTGTAAACTCTGGCAACATCATCATATTTTACGAGATCCAGGGGCCCTCCACCTACTCCTCCTCCTAGTCCTGTCACACACAAAAACAAAGGTAAAATGAAAGATTCGAACAACTCAGCTGAACGGGTAGAGGTCACTCATGGTACTCTGGTCCCCAAGGAAAATGCATCCCAACTAGAACAAAAGCTGTTGAAGTTTCAAGAAGAACTTGATCAAGTCCGGAATTTGGCAAGTCTGTCATTTTCCCTCACCACTCCAGAAGTTAGTTTCCCAAAAACTCAGAATCCCATACCTCCACAAAATATCCCAAAGCAACAAAATCATCCCGCTCCTCACCACCACTGCAATACTTGCCACACTCCCAACAATACTCTACTGCTCATCCCGGAACCTTTGAACTCCACAAATGAGCACTGCCACACCCAACACAATACCCCCATCTACGTGGAGACTGTGCCACACTCCACCCAGCCCATCTCAAGCACACCCGAGTCCAATGATGAGGACTCGCTCATCAGAAATTTGGCCGAGGAGCTTAAAAGGTTGACCACCAGAATTCAAGGCGTTGAAGGTAGTAAGGGAATTAAGGTGCTAAACTATGAAGATATGTGCATACAGCCCGATGTCGAACTGCCCGAGGGGTATAAACCTTCTAAGTTCGAGATGTTTGATGGTACAGGGGATCCCAGCGTCCACTTGAGAACATACTGTGACAAGCTGGTCGGAGTGGGAAGAGACGAGAAAATCTGCATGAAGCTTTTCATGAGGAGCTTGAAGGAGACGCCTTATCTTGGTACATTAGCCTGAAGTGGTCGAACTGGGTAAGCATGGCGTCTGATTTCATGGATAGATTCAGGTTCAACACGGGGAATGCATCAGATGTGTTCTATATCCAAAACTTGAAGAAGAAGAAACCCACAGAGACCTTCCGTGAGTATGCTACTTGATGGAGGTCAGAAGCTGCTAAGGTTAGGCCTGCTTTGGAAGAAAAGCAAATGAACAAATTCTTCGTTCGGGCCCAAGACCAACAGTATTATGAGAGGCTGATGCTGATTGAAAATCATAAATTTTCTTATATCATCAAGCTAGGAGAAAGGATCGAAGAAGGCATCAAGAGTGGTATGGTTACAAACTTTGAAGCGTTGCAAGCTATCAATAAGGCTTTATAGTCTAGTGGTACGTCTAAGAAAGGGACGTAAGTGCTGTAATGGTTGCACAGAGAACCAAATCCCCTATCAAATACCAAACCTACCCAATACCTCCAATCACCTATCAACCTACTCCAAATTACCAAGCACCCGCACCCTCTTACCATACTCCACCACCCACTTATCAGTCAACTCCACCTCCCGTATATCAGCCCACTTCACCTAAATACTCCCAATCCGCACATGTTTACCAAGCCTACAACACCCAGCCATCCCACTATCAATCACCTCCCCCACGTCAAAGCTTCCCTAGACCTCGACCAAATTTCGACCGCAGACCTCCCAAACAGTATACCGCCATTGCTGAACCAATTGACCAGCTGTAGGAAAGGCTCAAAGTTGCTGGTTATGTCACCCCTATCCTTGCCATAACCCTAGAAAACCCTTCTCAGTGGGTCAATCCAAATAAATCCTGTGCATACCATTCCGGCATGAAAGGACATACCATTGATGAATGCCGCTCTCTGAAGGA